AAGATCTTTTCTTAGATGATCTTTTCTGATTCTGAGCACTTTGTCTGCCAGAGAGAATCACAAGTTATCTTTGTTTGCACCAAACAGGTTGAGAAGAGTCTTTTGGGGGAGCCTTTGTATAAATCCTCAAGGCATGTTGATATTAACAACTGAGTTTGTTGGCCAAATTTACTTTGTACAACTGAAAAACTGGTAGCAAATTTTGAAATCTTTTCTTGCTTGTTTTGAGAAGGACTGACTCAGGGTGAAGGACACAATGACGCAAAGAAAAATATTAACAAGAAATTCCCCTGTCGGAAGGACAGAAGGAAGAATCTTTTTTCCCAATAACTAGCCTTAATAATCATGACATGCATTTTGGACTCAATGACCTGATCTATCAAACTAATCCAATCTTCCCTTTTACCATTCTTATGATATTTGAAGTCGGGCCTATTTGTGTCAATCCTTTGCATCAGCTTCACGACTCACTTTCGACTAGTAGCGCCCGAGGGGTTTTCACCAACAAGTCTCTATCATCTATTCATCTCTTCTTACCGTCGTCTTACAATGCCCGTGAGGGTTTTCACTAGTAAGACTCTCTCATTTTTCTTCTCTATTTTTTTTTACTTTCTTGCGCAAACATCCTAACAATGTTATATGTTGTGTGACAACCCTTGCTCATTGCATGCTTCTCTTGGCATTCTTGAAGGCATATCGGGAGGTCTTTATTTGGAAGGTTTTGGATAGGGTTGGAAAGAAGGGTCGACATGAAGGCTCAAAGTAGACTCAAAATAAGGGGTTGTAGACTTACAACTCTTGGAATCGACTCTTTCAAAAGTGAAATAAAATTTTTGCACCAGTTTCAGATGCTGGGGATTTTTGGATTTTTCTATTTTTTTCTTTTCTTTTCTTCTAAATTCTTATTTGGTTGGACCAAACCGTGAGGCTGCCTACGTATCCTTATTTTTTAAGGAATCAGGTCGAACGTAGTTCAAACGTCTGACCTAACTATAATTTTCATCATTCTTTTTTTTTCAAAACAAGTTGCCCCAGCTTCTATTTTTGGAGGCAGACAATCCTTTTTTTTTTCTTGAACTTTCTAAGAATTGCCCCAGTTTGCACTCTTGGGACATGAACTCTTTTTTTATCTTTTTCTTTTCTTTTTTTTTTCTTTTTTTTCATTTTTTTTCCGACTCTAAACTTGATTCCAAAAGAGGGTGGTCAAAGAAAATAACACATGCTTAAAGGGGTGGCAAAGGATATAAAGTGTTTGGGTAGCGGAAAAAGGGCCTCCTAGCCTCGAGAATGCCAATCATGCTATCTTTTCGCGATCCCAGCATTGACGAACATGTCTGTCTTCTTGGTGTGTCGTGGTCACAAGACACTTTCCATCCCTTAATGTCAAACTTTCCAACAAACTTCAATTGATTCTTCCTCAAGTTCAATTTTTTTGTTATCCAATTCCAGATTAAATCAGTTTCTAAGATCTGGCCAAAATTTCCGCATACATGTCATGTCATTATAACTAGCGAGAAAAGAACTAGAAATAGAATGACACAAAAGGACAAACTGTATTTTATTGAATAAGGATGGAAGGGTTTGACAACTAAACAAGCAACCTAAAATCCGAGTACAACCCTAAAATAACCCGGCTAAAGAAAATAGCAACAGAACAGACAGACAAGACTCATAAAAATAGAATGGAGGGATAGAAGAGTTTGACTCAATAAACAAATAAAATCTGGATCACGACCCTGAAATAACCCAGATAATAGAAAAAAAATATAAAAACAAACTACCAAGATTCCTTCCTAGTGAGGAGGGAATGACTTTTCAATTGCTAGACTTGACATTTAGCCACCAATTTGCTCATCAGAATTAACAAAGCCTTCTCCAATTTCAACATCATTAACTTTAGTCAGAAAGCTCTCGAGAGGATTCTCAAACTCCATGTCACCAGGCATCTTCCCCACAAAGTGTTCATCATGATGTGTAGGTAAAGGATTCTGCGCGATATTCTGGATGTCACTATCTTGGATCACAATCAAATTTTCCTAGATCTTCCTTTCTATTTCTCTTTTCAAATCCCGACAGCTTTCAAAATTGTGCCACTAAGCATTGGAATGGTATTCACACCTTTTAGAATGGTCAAAGCTTCTTGCACGGGGGTCCACATGATTTGGAGGAATATGTGCAATCATGTCATGATACTTTAACTTCTCAGACAAGCTTGCATAAGACTCTCCTATTGGCGTAAAATTATCTTTCAACCTTTGGTCCCCTTTATACCTCTGGCTTGAATGTGGGTTATAGGGCACCTGAATATTTTGTGGAGTCTGTTGGAGGTTTCGTGATGCTCGTGCTCGCCTTCTGGTGCGTTTTGGTGGCTGGACAACATACTGAGGTGGAGCGACAAAGTATTGAGGGTTCTGAGGTGGCTAATACTGCTCAGGGGAGTCATGGAAAACTTGAGGAGGCTGCTCATACCTTCGAGATGTTCTCCTGGGACCTCTTCTCGACCCTGATGTCATCATGATTGTGAGCACGTGATTTTTATTTCACGAAAACTACTCCAAAAGAAATTAAAAAATAAAACAAAATTCTCTTGGTGAGCCATTTTTAGGATTTGCGTGACATTTTTGGATAATTGTTTGTGTTTTTGTCCTTAAATGTTTACTTTGTTGTAGTTAATTGAAAAATACAAAAAAAATACATGTTGCATATCTAGGATTTAATTATGCATTTAAGAATTAATTAAACCATTAATTGGCTCTAAAAGGAAAATCATAAAAATATGCGTTTTATTCTATTTGTTGTCATTGTGTGATTTTATTTTAAGGTTTTAATTTGTGTGTTAATTGTTGTAAGTGTTAATTAATATTTGTGTAGTTTTATTTTTGATTTTATAATTTAATTAGGAATTGTGTTTAAATTAAAAATTAAAGAAGAAAAAGGAAAAGAGTTCAAAAATGAAGAAAATTCGGACTGAGCCAGTTTTTAAAAGAGAAGTCAGGCCCAAAGGTTGCACCCCCTACCCGGCCCAAGTCTGTCAACCCAAAGACCACCAAACGACGTATTGGCATTTTCCATCTAGACCGTTGATCAAATAGATCTAATGGTCCAGTTCAGTTCTTTCATTAAACCAAACGACGCCGTGTGATTGTATTTAATCGGGACCGTTCATTGCTTTTGATCTAATGGCTCCCAGGCCTTCCCTCATGACCCGACCCACTCCCGTCTGAGACCGATCCAAACCCCCTGTTTAAACAAAATGACACCGTTCCATTAAGTGAAGAGATCATGGCCATCAATCTCACATGATCCAACGGCCAGGATCCATCCCTCCCCTATGTATATAAGCCCCAATTCTCACCCCAAACCAAACACCCCCCTTGCCCTATTCATCATCGTCTCAAAGACAAAGCCCCCCAAACCCTAGCCGCCTTAGCTCCCCTTCGCTTGAAACCCGGCGGCAACTACGCCGCCGGCCACCACCTTAACACCATAAGACCATCTGACCACCCCCGTTCCAAATATATTACTTGTTTGGTTCGAATCTTCCCCCATCTTCTCGAATCTTCATTTGAAGATTCGAGCCAAACGGAAACCTACACCAACCAACCCCAAATTCATACCAGGCAACCCCCAGACCTCCCTCATACCATAAATGACTTTGGTTCTGTTCAAATCTGTCTAGAAATGTTCGAACCTTAAATCAAAAACCAGGAACCCTAGAAATTCCAAATCATGGAATCCATCGAAATTAAGTGAGGATTTGGGGTCTGTTCGACCTTAATCGAAGTGTTCTCAGTTGAGAACACTTCGACTAAGGTCTATTCGACCTCAAAGTGTCCGAGTCCGAGTTTCGAGCCTGGGTCCGTATAGTTCTGGTATTCTGAGGTATTTTTCTTCTTTCCTTTGCCTGTGTTTATGTTTTTTATCTATGTATCTGTTTATTTGTTAGTTTAGTTTTATTGTTTTAAAATTCTTTTTGTCAATTGATTCTGTTCATCTTCAGTGGACTTTTTTATTTGGTCCGATTCTGTCATTTGTTTATGTTTGCTGTAATTATTATGTGTTATAAATTATGTAATCGATTAATAAGTTGCGTCGATTAATTAATTTCCTGTTAGTCTATGATTCTGTCAATAACACTGATTGCCTATTGCTTTGTTGTTGATTTGTTCAGTGTCAATTGTAATATGTAATCGGTTAATTAAGCTTTCAAATTGTTTATAGTTTTCAAATTGTTAGTTATCCGATTAATTCAGATTTTGTTTTGATTATGAGCATTGTTCTGAATCCCTGGAACCTTTATATTTGATGTATTTTCTGCCTTAAAGTACTAGCTGAATTGGTTATAGCTGTAATCAAATCAGTTTTGGTTAATTGTTAGTTAAACAGATTTGAGAATTAAGATTTTAATACAATTGAATACTTGTATTGGGAGGCAATAATATTAAGGGGGTTTTTAGGGCTGATTTAAGAATGAAATAGTTAGGATTATATTTTAGTATTAGTGCTTTGTTAGTGGGGTATTAATTGATACACTAATAGGGAAGAAAAGGGAATGGGGGTTGAAAATAAGGAAAAACTTCCTTAGTGGGATTTAAAGTGAAAAAAATCAGATTTTTAGTGGAAAATTCTGATTTGAATAAGGAAAAGGGTCGGACAGTATGTTTGAGAGGGGGGCAGATTTGTATAAAAGGGTGTTGGGGACTGATTTTTAAGGAGGGAGAATTTGAGAAAGAGAACTAAAAAAAAGGGCAAAAAGAGAATTAAGAAAAAGAGGGAAGAAGACTGAAAAGCCATCTTCTGAATAATATTAGAGGGGAATTTTGATGAGTTTAAGAGTGAATAAAAGCTGAACTTTGAAGAAACAAGAAACATTCATAGTTCAAGTTAAAAATTTGCTGGATTTTATCATCAAAATTCAGTAATTTTAGAGTTGAATAGGCTGAATTTTAAACACCTAAAAGTTCAGTAATTGGAGAAAGTTAAAAGAGAGGGTTGAGAGATAAAACAAAACAGAAAAGTGAAGTCTTTCTTCCACTATTAAAAATCAGTGCCAGTTTGCTACTATGTCATTAAAGCTTCAAGCTTCTTTTCTTTGAGTGTTTGAAAACCAGAAAATCTACTGTTCTATCGCATTCCTGAATACATTCTGTTTTTGCATGTGATTGCTGGTGGTGTTTCTGGTTTTATTCCTGGGTTTCTGGTGTATCTGTGTTGCTGTTTGGTACTTCTGAAATTGCAACTTGTGGTCCTGAACTTGCTGTTGGTTAAAACTGTTCCATTGGTTTTATTCCTGGAAAGTGCATGAGTTGATCCAGTCCTTGCAATTATTAAAAGCAAATGTAGTGGTCCTATATGTAGCACATAAAAGCAGCAATCTAGACAACTAATCATCAAATATGAGAAATGAGAAGCAATTTTGTTTCTTTGCTACATATTGTTGAGGTCTGGTCATTCACTAAATGACAAGAGCTATTATATTAGCGGAAACCCATCGTGCATCAACTTTGGGCAAGAGAAGCAAGAGTTGACATGTCCATATAAATGACAAAAATAAGTTTGTGTCAGTTGCATTCTCTGCACAAAGAGTATATCCTACTTCTTTTTTAAGTGTCTTATGGGAAATCTGATAAACATGATAGGTTAATGCATCCCCAACACTATTGTTATCTTAGAAACTGTAAGCAATACAAAAAATAACCACAGTGAGGACTAGATCAAGATGTGTGCATGTAAAATTCGATTCTGCATCAAAAAGATTGTACCATTTCTTCCAATTATTTCCTTCTCAACTAAGGCTAAATCATAATATGAGCAGTTGGAAATATCTAAAAAAAAAAAAGAAGGGAGAGAATTGATATCCTTTCAAGTAGAATAAGTCATGTCCTCTTCAATTGAAACCAAGACAGATTCTAGGCACCTAATTTGGAAAATTAACATTAGGAAATTTCATAACTAGGCACCTAATTTGGAAAATTAACATTAGGAAATTTCATAACTTTAGGAGAAAGAGGCTAGATAACGTTCTTGACATCTAAAGTACTGAAAGAAAATTATTAACAGATTGCAGTTCCAAAAATAAGATATGGTTTCTTTAATTTAGAGAGCCTAGTTTCATATTTCCTGTAATTAATACCGAGGGAAATATACCATGTCCAATGCTCCAGTATTAAAACTTATCTTAGTAATTAAGGTAATTTTTAGTTTAATCAAATTAAAGTTCACAGTTGGGAAGATGAAATCATAGTCTGCAATTTTATAGCACATGAGAGTTCTTTGAGGGAGTCAACTACTTATCGTACCTGGAATTATTTCACTTCAATCCTTTTTACCTTAATGAGGCAAACAGAGTAGAACAACATTAAAACATGATTAATAAGAAAGTGCAATACTTGCCTTTTTTACTGTAACGAGGCAAACAAAGTAGAAAAATGAAATGCTTACATTAAAATGCAGCATGAAGTTAACCATACAGCAGGCATGAAAATTAAGATAACTGATATAATATGTTAATAATGCATTCTTGCTATTCATAGTGGCAGCAACATAAGCAAGTAAAGGATGAAAACGATAACCAAATGAACAGCTCAATTCAAGATGCATATCTATATCTTGCCTCTAGGTGAGCCTACAATAGTGCTATTATCTCCATTTTAATTAAAAAGGTAAAATATGAAGCAAAAAACAAACAAAAATACAAATGCAAATATAGAATAACGAAACTATAATAATCAAAGTATGAATTTAAGATGAAGACCATGAAGCTAATAGCTATTTCAGTGCTATCAGTATCAACAGTTGTCATAGTCATACATTGGGATATTCCTTGTCCCTTTTGTTTAGCTTCTAACTGCATTTATTTTCGTTATATATTTTTCACAAGTTAGCTTCTACGATTGTTATTCACGGCATATCGATCACAAATCGCAAATGTCCAATGTTCAATCACTAAACAAACTATTAAAAATTAAGGTCCCTTTGAATGTATCAGATATTAATAAAGTATTGATGAATTTTTGTGTGCCTGCACATCTATTTCTCTTTGACCCATATATTCTTTCTTTTAGGCTTTTTTAGAATGAAAGATCCATCTCACATGCAAAATTTATTTAACAGAGAAGATCTTCAATTAGTGCTGATCCACAAAACATATAGCAGACTAAATGGAATAGTTCTGCATAGAGTTTAAAACAAGAAATTTTACCCTTCTCCACCAAATCAAGCAAAAAATAACACGTGTGGAATTCAGCCAAAAAATCAAAGTAAACACAAAACAATATAACTCCAATGATCGTAAAAGAGATACAAGGAAAATACAGAAGAGACCAACTATACTAAAAAGTTAAGAAAAGCAAACAAACGGCAAGAAAGCTACAACACAACCAATAGTGAAATCGTAAAGCAGGAAAAAAGAAAACTAAAAGAAATATGAAATACGCATCACAAATAAAGGGGAAAAAAATAGAAGCAAAATTCCAGTGCAACAAACAACAAAAAAAGAAAAACAAATTAAAAAGAGAGTAAATACTAACCTGAACATTGTGAGACCCAACAGAGACGCTAGAGAATTCTAGATGAAGAAGAACGATAAAGAATTTGAGAGTTCGATGAGGTGCCAGGCTGCCAGCCAATAAAAGGACACGTCTATTATAAGTTATGAAAAGTCAAAACTGCCCTCAGATGGTTGACCATTCGCTTTTCTATATTATAGACTAGATGAATGTTGGCCCGCGAGCAAGTGAGATTTGCGTTGCTTTGCATCAACTGAAACACAATTGAAATTCTTAAACAATACTAAGTGACACAATAAAATGACTATGCTTTCAAAAGAGATTCGACATCGGAGCATTCAAGCAGTGAACGGTCTTCTTTCTCTTCTCCAATTACATTAATAAAGATGTCCAACAAAATACTGTTGCGCTTAAATGTATATACATGCAGTTTAAAACACCCAACATGGGTGTGTTAGCCATGAACTTGATTTAAAAAAAAAGGCATAAATCCAGGTTATTTTCAAAGATATATCTGTCACCTTAATTATATGCACCACCCTTGAAGATATCTTTATTTAGAACAGGTCTTGAACTTTATGTTACAAGCTAGACGTGATTACATGAAATCAACACCACTTCCTTAGTAGAGACAGATGACATGTGTGATTTTAAGAAGGAAGAACTCTTTCAATGCTTTTTCATTGGTATTCATGGACATTCTCAACATATGCTCCAATATTTTTTGCTCTAAATTGGTCTTTATTCCTTTCAAATTCATGTTCATCATAAACCTCTCAAATAATATTGTCCATTGTTTCTTCCACTTGTTTATGTGTGCTTTAAGTTAAGAAGGAAAAACTCTATTTTCAAATAAAATTTTCATTTTCTAACAAATAATTGACGTTAAAGATAACTTCAGACAATATTTTGCCTCTATTTAGGTGGCTCCTTCCACTTTGTATGAGTACTTCTCTCTTCACTTTATCTTTTGAATTAGAGATACTAAAACTATCAAGCTTCACATTCTTCTTTCATATAGACTGTTCTTGTTAACAGAAAGTTTCATCGTATCATCTTTATTAGTTTGTTGCCATAATTAACTCGTATTATTTGTGAATCTTGGTGTAGCTATTTAAGAGACACAAGAAAATTAGCAGTTCACTAAGATAAGAATTAAAAAGACTAAATACTGTAGACATCTCCCTAAGACTAAAGATGAACAACACATTATTTTTATAAATGAAGTGAGTGATATCCCAAATAGCAGTTCATCTCAACCGGTTACAAAGTAAAAAGTGCTATTCAGTGGGAAATTCTTTATGTAAAGCTGCTTGATTTGAGCATGCGTGACCACGTATATAAAAAAGAACTTTTATGATATCACCATTTTACCATTGCATATTTGGATAAATATCTCTTTTGCCCTTGGTTGACCTACACTTGGCTGAAATTACCTTTCTAATCAATTGAAACAAAAAATTGAAATTCAAAAAGTAAGTCAAAAGCAAATGAAATTACTATATAATCTTTTTGTTCATCGTTTCTACCCCAATCTTCCAACTACATTTTGCGCATAGAAAACCATTGGAAACTCTACCTCTGAACTCCGACGTGACAGGGATACCACCGGATGTGATGACTCACAAACTAAATGAAGACCCATCCTTCACACCAGTAAAGCAAAAGAAAAGAAAGCAAGGAGCTTTCAAAAATCAAGTGATTCAAGATGAGGTCCAAAAGCTATTGAAAATTGGGTCAATCTGCGAGGTAAAGTATCCTAATTGGTTAGCAAACACAGTTGTTGTACCTAAGAAAAACGGTAAATGGCGGGTTTGCGTGGATTATACAGATCTTAACAAAGTCTGCCCAAAAGATTCTTTTCCTTTACCGAATATAGATCAGTTAATTGATGCAACTGCACGACATGAACTTTTGAGTTTTTTAGATGCATATTCGGGGTACAACCAAATTAAAATGGACCCTAGTGATGAAGAAAAAACTTCTTTCATCACAGACATGGGGACTTACTATTATAAAGTAATGCCCTTTGGTCTCNGATTCTTTCCCTTTACCGCATATAGATCAGTTAATTGATGCAACTGCAGGACATGAACTTTTGAGTTTTTTAGATGCATATTCGGGGTACAACCAAATTAAAATGGACCCTAGTGATGAAGAAAAAACTTCTTTCATCACAGACATGGGGACTTACTATTATAAAGTAATGCCCTTTGGTCTCAAAAATGTTGGAGCAACCTATCAAAGATTGGTCACCAAAATATTCCAAGAACATTTAGGAAAAACCATGGAGGTACACCAGCATTCTCATTATCATATTTCTCATTTATCTGTTACATTTGAAATTTTACGAAAATTTAATATGAAACTCAATCCAGAAAAATGTGCATTTGGGGTTGCCTCGGGCAAATTTTTGGGTTTTCTCGTTTCTAACCGTGGTATTGAGGTAAATCCTTCTCAGATCAAAGCAATAGAGGAGATCCCTGATATCCTTACGAGTAAAAAAGAAGTCCAAAGGCTAACGGGAAGAATCGCAACCTTGGGGAGATTTATTCCCAATTCTTTAGAAAAATGTTTTAAATTTTTCTTCGCACTCAAAAAGCAAGATCATTTTGAATGGAACGAAGATTGCCAACAAGCCTTTAGAAATTTAAAAGCTTACTTGTCAAATCCACCACTTTTGGCAAAACCAAAGAAAGGAGAAAAGCTACTCATCTATTTGGCCGTGTCAGAAGTTGTGGTAATTGTTGTTTTAATCCGTGAGGACCGAGGTAAACAATATCCTATCTATTATGTAAGCAAGTCTTTACTAGATGCTGAAACACGATATCCACAACTAGAAAAATTAGCATTAACTTTGATCATGGCATCTAGAAAATTAAGACCTTATTTTCAATGTCATCCCATTGTTGTAGTTACTGCTTTTCCATTACGAAACATTTTGCATAAACATGAATTGTCAGGGAGGTTAGCAAAATGGGCTATAGAATTAAGTGAATACGAAATCATTTATCAACCTAGGACTGCTATAAAATCTCAAGTATTAGCCGATTTCGTAGCTGATTTTAGCCAGGGGATGCATTTAGAAGCAGAAAAAGAATTACAAGTTTTTAATGGTGCAAACCCGGGGACTTGGATTTTATTCACTAATGGTTCGTCTAATTTAAAAGGAGCAGGCCTAGGGATAGTTCTCATACCACCTACGGGTGAGATTATTAGACAAGCTATAAAATGTCATTCTATAACTAACAATGAAGCAGAGTATGAGGCTGTAATTGCAGGTCTAGAATTTGCACGAGAACTCGGCATAACACAGATTATAATCAAGAGTGATTCTCAACTCATGGTCAATCAAATGCGGGGGACTTATATAGCCAGGGAGACACGAATGCAAGAATATCTCGAAAAAGTACGAGAACTAATAAAGTAATTCCAAACTTGGAAGGTAATGCAGATCCCAAGAGATGAGAATGTGGAGGCAGATGCTTTAGCTAATCTCGCATCTGCAACAGACGTAGCAAACGACGCAAATGCTTCAGTCGTACATTTATTTCATTCTGTTCTCGAACCTGATAAGAACGAGGTAAATTTTAATCATTTAACATGGGATTGGAGAAATGAAATTATTGCTTTTTTACAGCGCGGAACCGTGCCTGATGACAAAAGAAAAGCTTATGCACTTCGCAAAAAAGCTGCTCGTTATTGTTTACATCAAGGAAATCTTTATCGAAAGATGTTCGGTGGACCATTAGCAAGGTGTCTCGGACCATCCCAAACAAAATATGTGATGAGGAAGTATATGAAGGACATTGTGGAAATCACGCAGGAGGAAGGTCGCTGGTAAAAATGCTGATTCAAGTAGGGTATTATTGGCCTAAAATGGAAGAAGAAGCAAACGATTTCGTGTCCAAGTGTGATAAATGTCAAAGATACGGCAATAATATGAATAGACCAGCTGAGTTACTGCACCCTGTTATAGCCCTGTGGCCCTTTATGAAATAGGGAATGAATATCGTAGGTCCATTGCCACAAGCAAAAGGTCAGGTGAAATTTCTACTTGTACTTACAGATTATTTCACTAAATGGGTAGAAGCAGGAGCATTTAAACAGGTACGAGAGAAAGAAGTTAAAGACTTCATTTGGAGGAATATAATATGCCGCTTTGGAGTACTTAAGGAAATCGCGTGTTATAATGGTCCGCAATTCATAGGAACCCAAATCACAGAATTTTTTCAAAGTTGGCAAATTAAAAGGATAACATCTACACCATACCATCCAGTAGGTAATGGACAAGCGGAATCCACAAACAAAGTCATTATCAATAATTTTAAAAAAAGGTTACAAGATTCAAAAGGTAACTGGCCTGACGTATTGCCTGGGGTATTACGGGCTTATCATACAACGACAAAAACAAGCACGAGAGAAACACCATTTTCAATGGCTTATGGTGAGGAGGCCTTAATACCAGTTGAAATAGGATAACCAAGCACACGGTACGTTCAAGCAACAGAGGAATCAAATGATGAAGAGATGCGGGTGAACCTTGATTTGCTCGAAGGAAGAAGAGAAGCTGCATTAATAAGGATGATAGCACAAAAGCAAGTAATTGAATGGTATTATAATAGGAAAGCATGCCTCAGATTCTTTAAAATTGGGGACTTCGTGCTTAAAAAGGTGTTCCAATCTACAAAAGCTGCTAATTCAGGAAAGCTAAGTCCAACATGGGAAGGACCCTACAGAGTTCGTGACATTGCGGGAAAAGGAGAATACGAGTTGGACACAATGGATGGCAAGGTTCTACTCTCACATTGGAATGCTATCCACCTAAAGAGATATTATTTCTGAGAAAGTATCTACGATCAGGTATTGCTATATTAGAATTTTTCTTTGAATTGTTAAAATTTTACTAACGATTTTAGATGCTAGGCAAAAACCATAACTCGTGCCAAATGATGAGTCACGACCTGCACGGCAAAATGGAAAATTCTAAAATTCCCAGCCCAGGGTTACAAATTAATCTGATGGAAATATACACGGGTTAGGCTGTCTTCATCTCTAATCGCACCTCCGAGTCCCGTATGTTTTTCTGTTCCAGGAAAAGGATCAAAATTGAGAGAAACAAACAAGTGCTCGAGACTTCATACTTTACCGCAAATACTTTGGGGACTACATATTATACACAGATACGTGCAAAAA